TCTTAATGTTCAAAACCTAATACACCAATTTAGATATGTTAAAATTCATTCCTGGCTTCGAATATCGGGGAAATGATAACAAAAGGAATGTATTATTCATTCCTGTTTTTGCAAGGTGATTTCTTTTGTTATCCGAGGCTGGAAGCCAAGAATGAATTTTAACAAATTTTTAATTTAAAATATCGAAATGTTTTGGTCTATTCTTGCAAATGCCTATAGCTTTAAAAGATGTTTCAAAAAAGTCTCAAATAATTCATAAAGAAATAATGTCAAAAGAAGTTAGTGTTTAGTGGGCATCCTAAAATTTAATGCAAGATGAGTGAGTTTTTAGCTCCGATCTTAGTTCCCGTTTTCTCAAACACCTACTATCGTCGACTGTTTGGGGATGAATAAACATTTGAAGCTCCATTCAGTAATCAAATTCAAAATGTAAAATCCTCTTTACAATCGAGGGTCTTCATTTATCCTTTCCTGCTAATACTCATTGCTTGTTTAGGTCGTGGGGGTTCTTAGAGTGTATCCTCCCAACCCACCCCTGCAGGGTTGTAAAATCTCGCGTGAGTTACACGGAACGAATTCAGCGACAGCCTGCTCGTTGGCTAAAGTGAATGGATATTACCCCTTTCAGTTCTTTCAAAGATGAAAGAAATAGAAATCACACAAAAGAAATACAATTTCGTCTTGTAAAATAGTTAAAACTATAAATAGTTCCACTCAAAAAGTTCTGCCAAAGAACTTTCGTTCATTGAAACGAAAGCAGAAAAGAATTTAAACCACAGATTTAAAAGTTAGAGTGACAAATAATCCCGCCGCAATGTGATGTATGAGTGAGACGATTAAAACAGTTATTGGTAAGGCTGTTTTTAAAAAACCTTTTTTAAAATTTCCCAAGACTGACCAAACCGATTTTCTCAGGAATAAAATGATCACAACAGGGAAAGCGCTTTGATGTTTTATCTCTACTAATACTTTCTCGAAATATATGGAGAATTTGTATGTGAACAACACAAGGGATTTAAGAGGTAAGGCAGAGAGACAGTTCAGTGTATACTTAATTTACCCTAGAAATGTCATTTCAGGAACAATAATAGCTTGGATCCGTAACTTTGAGCCACCTTGCTTACTGCTCTGTTGTGTGCCTTTTTTTAAAGTTTCCCAAGCCCGTTAAGTATAGGGACCCAAGAAGGGGCACTAAACCCTGTGGAGTACTCCCTTTAATGGCCTATATGGAGAGGCTCCGCCCGAGATGGTTAAATGAAAGGTATACGAAAGGGTAGGGATTTCACTAGTTGAAGTATATAAAAGAGTAGGAAAATCTGTCATTTCGGTCCTTAAAAGGACCTAAAAAAAGCTGACAAGAGGTTTAATGGCTGTGAAAAAGTCGAGTTTTCTTCATCATCTCAAAAACTAATTAATAGTTCATAAAGAAAAAACAAACCAAATTAATATTTAATGAGTGCTTTTATATTGATAAAGACAAGGCTAAACTTTACGTCTAAGTTTTAGACCAAAATTACTAATAAAAGTATTTAAACCTGATAATACACTCCTGCTCGTTTTTGGAACAGTATTTAAAACATAGTGCACAAACAGTAGGTAAAAAGGGATTCAAATTGCTAAACTAGGTGATATGTGAAGTGAGCAAGTAAACACTTTATTTAGTAAAACACTAAATAGCTAAAAGCTAATAAACTTGTGGGCCTCACTAGTGCCACTGTGATGCGGGCTGTAGTTCTCCATGTAATCTTGTAATTTGCCTTTCTCCTCACAGTCAGTTCTTAATCTCCATAATTTCACAACGGTTACAATTATCAGGTTTTACTCTTACAGTTGGTTTTTACCTTATAACTAGTCATCGTTTACACTTTTATTTTTTAATCAGTCAGGCAATTGTTAATAACATATTAATGCTCTGTTGTATTAAGGTTTGGGAAATGAATGATTAACGGCAAAGCGGGAGCAAAGCGAAGCTGGCACAGCTTGGCCAAAGGGTAGCAGGTAATACGACCCTCGACTTTTGAGGAGGAAAAATGTTTTTGTTTAACACCTTATCCAGGTTGAGTTTTTCTTTTAGAAATATCTCATTGAGAATGTTGATAATACCATTTCCGAACTTCTAGATTTCAAACGTCTCTGGGAGAGGATGCCCCCAGACCCCCCCCAAACAAACTCGCGTCTCTGTCGCTAGGTTTCAAGCTCCCTCCCCCCCTCCCCGAGTTGAAAGTGCGCTCCGCCGTACCTGTGGATAAATGAGATAAAGGTCTCTTGTCTACTGCAAATAGGACCGTACATTTAGTTTTGTGTAAATTTCCTTTATAAGATAGAAAAACGGCTCAATAAGCTGTTTTAAAAGGTGACCATTTTCCGTTTAATTACCCATTCCTATTTCACGCACTAATACAAGGCGAAGCTTTTCAGAGCCACCCCAGGAGTTTTTCAAATATTATTAGAAAAACCTGCCATTTGGACCCCATTTTAGTGAGAAATGTTTAATCGTTAATATTCAATGATGAGTCAAGTGAAGAAAACCAAAAAAAACTCCCTAACAATTATACACAGAGAGGTCAATCAAGCAATGAAAAATGCTGCATTTAACTATAAAATCACTGCTTATCAACGAAAAAGAAGAGTTTCTAATCTTAAGAGTGTACATCTTCAACAATTTAAATCTTCTAAACTAATACTAAATGCATTTCGTTTGTTTATAATTAAGGGTGGTACAATTTGCAGGCCCCCTTAGTTCTGACGTGGGAGCTGTGTGATCTCATATTCCGGGAACTATTTTTTAAGATGAGCTCCAAACCACCACTGAGTAGTAGAGTTGACTGCCTGTGTGCAGCGGAACTTTTGATTAATTTCACCATAAAAGCCAAAGTTGTCCTCACTGCCAACCGCTCCAACGGATGCGCTGAACTTGCAGCGATCTGAACTGCTGATAATATGCAACATCCAAGCGTTCTTTTTCTGCCAAAACAGTGCTGTAAGGTTCGTGCCATTGTGCCCTCGGATATCCACATATTCCACCCTCTTACACTTGCCATCACCAAGGAAATCGACGATGTTGAAGTCTTTGAAGTTTCCACGGAGGTAGTCTCTGTAATCGATGCCGTGGGTCGGGTAGCAGCATGTTGCTCGCCAGTGAGTGGAGTGAACCTGCAAAGATCTCATTCGCTCCAGACGTAAGCGGTAACGATCCCAGTTCGGGGAGGTCTCGTTTTCTGGGGCATTGATCTGAAGAACGGCTTTTCTAAAAGCAGGAAGAAGGCGATTCTTTCTGCTCCAAGACATGACCAGAGTCCATGCAATACCGGGCTCGGATTTTAGATCACAGTAGGCTGGGAAACTGTTTCCGTCGTTATCATAGATCTTATAAATGCCATCTTTGTAGGCACCTTGCTGCCCATATTCGACGCAGGATATCGGACGGAATCTACCCTGGAAGAGACAAAACAGGCGACTTTTCATTTTGTTTGCATCAACTCACACCAGTGGGAACTTTTAATTAATGTACATACCGTCCGGTTCCCGAATAAGACTCGTCTCTCTACGAGATGAGTAGTAGATAAACTGATATACCTTTGCCTTATATGGAAAGTTCATAAAGTCGTTTATCGTCTGCCTCTGGAGAAACAAAATTCATCACTGCCCACTTTATACCACTAGATGAAAATACAAGAATTGCCTTCAAATTTATCATCATAATGCCTTAGAAAAAACAAAACAAAACCAACTGCCGGCTGGATTTAACCTCTTTGAGCTCTTAGGTTCTTTCCGCCTCCATAGCCTTCACATACTCCGCACAAACTCTCGCAACCTGAGATCAATAATTCCCCGAGATTTTTATCTGGGACAACAGGATTGTTAATAGAAATAACGCGTTTAGTTAAAACTCAATTCGCACCTTCAAGGAAAAGTGATGTGAAGTCTTGTTTTCATGGTACTCGTCTGGGTTGATGTAATTATTCGAAGTCAACACTTCGCACCAAAGTGTTCCATCGGTTCTTTTGGAGGCGGCCAGGTTCAGAGAAAAACATGAAGGATTATTGAGACATTCAAAGGTGCAGTCAAAGGCGTCGTACACTGTAATCGTTCTAATTCCAGGGACGTTTAAAAAGTGGTATTCGTCTTTTACAAAAACATCTTGACGAAGATCTGGGTGGTGTGTTGCCTGCGATTCTATCAAAATAAAAATGAAAACAATTTTAAAATTTTTATTCCATGAAAAACGGCCAAAAATTCACGATAAAAGCGAACAACTTTGAGCCAAAAAATTCAAGTAAGAATTTAACTGACTGGTACCTCTTCAGACTTTAAAATAATTGTGCAAATCCTTCAAAACTAACTATTCTACGCTTGCCACTAGAATCTTAGAATGCTAAAATTTTGCACCTGCCGCGGAGTTTTACGCATGTGGTTAAATGTTTTTTGATACTTTTCTTTTTCAATTTCTAGACAGTAAGCTCAAATAGGCTTCAAACTCGTTTTTTGTAGAAACCTCCAAGGCTGAATTGAGGTGTGATGAAGTATGGATGGTGAGGATCGAAGCTCTGAAAAAAGCAAATCAGGAAACAAACGTTCTAAAAATTCATTTAATTCAATTCAATTATTCAATTTCTGGAAGATACTTCTCAGTAAAATATTCGAATCTTTTTCCAATCAAAAATCTTTCTTTGCACTTTGCTATTCTCTAAAGATTAAAATGTTTCCTGTAATTCTAAGGCTTTTAAAGCTAGGTTTTTTATGAAAAGAAAAAAAAAGAAAAAAATATCAAACTAACCTTGTTCATAAAGTGCTTCAAGTATCTTTGAAGACAACACGAAGAAAAGAAACCAACGAAAAAATGGAGAAAACATTTCCGTGATGAGAACTCAGGTGTTCCAAAAGGGTGAGTTTTCGCTTGTAAACTGTAGTATATATTAATACTCTTGTGAAGCAATAGCAATGCTAACAAAACCACCAGTCCTTTTAATATTATTTCCTGTTTCAGATGAAAACTATTATAGTTAGACACCGCTAGAGATCAGTTTCAACATAAAATGTCCTCAAGCCANGCGGAGTTTTACGCATGTGGTTAAATGTTTTTTGGTACTTTTCTTTTTCAATTTCTAGACAGTAAGCTCAAATAGGCTTCAAACTCGTTTTTTGTAGAAACCTCCAAGGCTGAATTGAGGTGTGATGAAGTATGGATGGTGAGGATCGAAGCTCTGAAAAAAGCAAATCAGGAAACAAACGTTCTAAAAATTCATTTAATTCAATTCAATTATTCAATTTCTGGAAGATACTTCTCAGTAAAATATTCGAATCTTTTTCCAATCAAAAATCTTTCTTTGCACTTTGCTATTCTCTAAAGATTAAAATGTTTCCTGTAATTCTAAGGCTTTTAAAGCTAGGTTTTTTATGAAAAGAAAAAAAAAGAAAAAAATATCAAACTAACCTTGTTCATAAAGTGCTTCAAGTATCTTTGAAGACAACACGAAGAAAAGAAACCAACGAAAAAATGGAGAAAACATTTCCGTGATGAGAACTCAGGTGTTCCAAAAGGGTGAGTTTTCGCTTGTAAACTGTAGTATATATTAATACTCTTGTGAAGCAATAGCAATGCTAACAAAACCACCAGTCCTTTTAATATTATTTCCTGTTTCAGATGAAAACTATTATAGTTAGACACCGCTAGAGATCAGTTTCAACATAAAATGTCCTCAAGCCAATTTGTTTTTTTTTTTTGTTTGCTTTCCTATGAAGAATTGCTGTTTTAATTAAGGGGCTGTTTACATGGAAGGAGGAAGATCCTAGAAGGCGAAACAAATTTACGTTGGGTTTACGAGCAGAAATTTCAGTTGGCGGACGACAAAATCAAAAATGCAATTTGGGCTCTTGCGCTCTCTTTACTGGGGTAGATAAACTATCTTTAAGTAGAATTATCACAATTATCAGCTCGGGATAACGCCAAACAAAATAGTCGGCCATTATTGCCATGATTACCCACTGACAACCCACCGCCATTTTTGTCTGGTTTGTCCCAAGTACTATGATTTGGCTAGCGAAGGCAGTTTACGTGGTACTAGGATCTTCCTACCTGTCATCTAGGAAGATCCTAGCACTAGGGACAAGTACAGCTATTTGTGTGTGAATGGAATACAGAAAACAAATGGCGCAAGGATGATCCGCCTTCTAGGATCTTCCTGGTGCTAGAATCTTCCTCCCTCCACGTAAACAGCCCCTAAATTTGCTAATTTTCAATTGAACATCGTCACAATGCGGGCAAATAAATTCTTGGATCTGGCGAATTAGCTCATGATTGTGCATGTTTCAACAAATCTAATTCCCTTTATAATTGGATCACATTTAATTTTAAATGAAAAATATGCCTCGATATAAAGTCTATCCTAGCCAATTCAGCAATCCTAAGGTCATTTTGGACAAAAAAATGTCTTCTTGCTCTTTTTTTTTTACTTCTGGATCACAGAATTAATATTAATGTTTGAAAGAACATGCTCGAAAACGAAAATAATAACATACAGGGGCACCCAACGACCGTTTTCTGGGAAATGATCTGAAACGGCTCGCTATGCATCCTGGAGTGCTTTAAAAGCAATATGAATGATTAATTCGCATCGCTAAAAAAATTTGATCTGTTCGGTCGTCCTAGGAGTGGTTTGAACCTCTCGAATTTTTTAGGGCTGTTTTTCGCCTTTCCCGAAAATAACAGCCTACAGTGAAAGCTTTCCGAAAACGTAAGATTACCTGACTAGCTTTTCCCTTGACCGAAATTTTTAGGGGTCCTTTCAAGTTTTCCCCGAAAACTTTATCTAGAGTGAGAATGTCTCCGAATTTTCTAGGGCGACGTAGAATGTATAGAAAATTCTAGGTGTAAAAGAAAAGGCATTTAAGTTATTTTAAAGCCAGTTGAAACGTCTAATGAATGTATAGAAAATTCTAGGTGTAAAAGAAAAGGCATTTAAGTGATTTTAAAGCCAGTTGAAACGTCTTGTACCCTGCCGAACTCAATTCGCACGGCACTTGCGGAAAAAACTGAAATACGGCATGGCACTGACTGATTACAACGCACATTGAACGCAGTCCGCTAAGGCAGTTGGCAGAGTTGGGATCAGTTGGGATCGCCCAGGGCACGGCTCAGTGTTCTCTTTTGTGTTCGTTCCCAAGGGGTCGGGGGTAAGGTGCTCTGGGTGCTAAGGTAATAGGATTAGGAGAGGACAGCTGATGGGGGGAAGCTGAAGAATAGGCGGAATAGGTCCAGTAGGCAGAACGGAGGATGGGATGAGATCATCACCCTGCCAGTACGGTCACCGAACAACCAAAAATTAAAGTTGCCAGCAGAGCAGTAGTTTGTCCTCGCTCCTCGCCCCCATCCCCCTCCCCACACACCCCCCAGGTGGCGATGAGCGAGCAAAGAAAAAAAAAAACAGTGAAAAAGCGTCTGTTTTCGCGCGCTAAAGTTCACCGAAACGCTGAAAGTTGCCTATTTTCTACACAGTTAACTGTAACTGCAAATGTCAGAAATGTGACTTTATTAAAATTTGGTAGATCAGATACATGCGATGCCGAGAACAGTGCTACAATAGCGTTGTCTGGGTTATCCCACCGATCCCTCCATCCGTAGTCCTGCTGCGATACTGTCCTGAGTGTCCATCGACCGATACACAGGACTGACAGGCGCTATTCACGCGATGCGCGCTGATATAGCGTACGCGTAACCGGTAAGCCTGGTACCCTCAGAAAAGGCAGGGTCGTTGGGTTTTAAATCAGTTGTGTGAAATTTTCGCTAATGAGACTGCTGGGTTTAAAAATTTTGATCTATTCTTAGTTTACGAAAGCTACGAAATTTCTAGGTGCCGAAATCAGAATCTAGAGATTACTACGAAAGCTACGAAATTTCTAGGTGATCTAGAGATTACTACAAAATCCGAAAATCTTAGCTGAACAAACCACACAAATCCCGAAACTCTGAGCCCAACGAACAGTCACCACGAAACATTTTCGAAATTTTTAGCTGTTCTTGGGCTCCCGAAAATTTTAGCCATTCTAGAGGGCTCCGAACAGATATTTTCCCGAAAACGGTCGTTGGGTGCCCCTGAACATAGCAACCTACTTATTTAGCTTGCTACCAAATCATGTAGTAATAAGTTGTTCTAGAATACAAAACATAGCAAAAAGGTAGAGAGTATAATTCTAACCAATAGAACAAAAGTTAAAGTTCGTGAGGACTTCTACGAGAAAATCGAAGCCAATATCGTGTCGTATAGATATATGACAAATAATTTTTGAACGCTACATCATTGAAAATGGTATAAAGTCGGCCGAAAGGTTTCTACTACTCTTGTCAATTTTCTTTCTAATCACTAAATAAATGCATATACCCCACCCCAACAAATCTCTTCTTACTTTAAATAGCAACCGCATAAAAATGACAAACTCCTTCAGGAAGTCATACAACAAATTAAGTTGCCAATTTTCTCGGTATTTTTGTCATAACCAATCGCTATGTGTTTAAACAATAATGAATAAACGTCAATGCATTTTAATATAAACAACCTAGTGATTCACCTGTTAGGATGCTATGTTATGTGTGCATTTCTTAAGCTGAAAAAAAAGAGACTAACTCAGATCTCGTTATTGTCCGAAATTCGGGTAGGATTTTTGCTTCCTTCCTGTCTTGAAAATGAAGGCAAAATAACATAATCATTAATAAGAAAAAATCAATTAACGGACAACAATTAATTATATTTCAAAGGATACACTAATTGATGGCAGTGTAAAAAGATTTCAAATTTTTAAACTGTCGGTTTTAGCTGTATCAGCGAAAACAGCAGACCCAAAAACGTTTAACGGATCGCCCCATGTAATAAAAGAGGCGGAGAAAAAGTGTTCCGTGACGATCTAGATAGAAAATTGGTCTTTATCTACACTATAAAAATGTCAACTAAGCAAAGTCGCAAAACTGGCATTTTTTCACAGGGTTTACTCAATAGTTTTCCTCATTATTTTCATTTTAGGTGACAGACCAAAAAATGTGTTTGGTGACGATCTTGAGTTTTCGCTTGTAAACTGTAGGATATATTAATACTCTAAATTCTTGTAAAGCAATAGCAAAGCTAACAAAACCACCAGTCCTTTTTGTATTATTTCCTGTTTCAGATGAAAGCCAGTTAAGGTCTATTCTAGCCACGGAGACACCACTATCAGATCAGTTTCAGCATAAAATGTCCTCGAGCATTGTTTTTTGTTTGTTTGCTTTTTGCTGAAGAATTGCTGTTTTAATTAAGGGGCTGTTAATTACATTGAAGGAGGAAGATCCTAGAACCAGGAAGATCCTAGAAAGCGAAGAGAAACAAATTTACGTTGGGTTTACATGCAGAAAGTTCGGTCCGTGCGGTGCCCAGCTAGAGAAGGTTCGACAAGGAATTAAAAATGGCGGGCGACAACGGAAGAACCTGCTTGTTACCAAATCGTGTAGTCAGAATTGGCTATAAAAGAATACAAAGCATAGCAAAGACTGAAAGAAGGTAGAGAGTATAATTCTAACACAATACAATAAAAGCTAAAGTTCGACAGGGCTTCTGCAAGAAAATCGAATCAACTATCATGTCGTGTAGGTGTCTGAGAAATATCGGAACGCTAGTACTGACATCATTAATTGAAAATGGAGTAAAGTCGGTCGATAGGTTTCTACTTCTCTTTTCAACTTTCTTTCATGCCTAGGAATAATTGAAGAATTATTTACTTAATGCATATACCCCACCCCAAAAAATCTCTTCTCACCGCTTAATGGCAAGCGCATAAAAATGCCGAACTCTTACGGGAAGTCATACTAACAACAAATTTAGTTGCCAAT